AACCGGTAGATTTTGGAGCACGAGTTTTCTTCGCTGAACGGTGTGAGAGAGAGAGAGAGAGGTACCCTCGTTTTGGGGTATTTGGACCCTGCGGGAAAGAGCATTGAGAGCGTGGACAGGCTAAGAGTTTCAAGGTTTTGGGTTTCGGGAACACATTGGGTTTCGGGAACACAGAGCGGCAACAGTGTGTTTTTGATGGTGATGGACAAGTCCTGGACTATCTCAAGCTAAACAATCGCTTTATGGAACGTCGCACATTCCTGACTACGGATACAGTCGCCAGGAAAAGCCCCATAAACCCCATTAGCCTAAGCCCCAACTGTATAGTATAGACCTGAACACGTCTAGGTCTTAAGTCGTAACCTGCTCCCAATTCCCTACTACAGTTCCCCAGAACCAGAGCAACATACTAGAGGTGTCTGATACGATGCCTATATATATATATATATACCACAAAGGCACCCCCATAATTATTAGGCCCCGATGTTACGTCTATAAACCCGGGACCCGGACGCTGACCTCCCAACCCCAAACCTGAACCCTATAGCTATAAGCCCTTAATCCCGATTTAGGGTGCAAGGAAACCTGAAAAAGAAACCCTGCGCCTATAACCCCACAAGTTTAGGATTCATATAAGGAGCCCTTTATTACCCTAAACTCCTAAACCCTAAACCCCTAAACCATAGGGTTTGGGCCAACCTCGCACCCGCACTTCGCATCACAGGGACTAGCACGAATGGGAGTTTCCGAAAATACACGAGACCCTAATACCCCCAAAATAACGTGCCCCTAATTTTCGGAAGCTCCCAAAGCTCATCCCTTGAAAGGCGACTCCGACAGCGCGGGGCCCAGGGTTCGTTTAAAGGGATCTATAAGAGTCCCGTTAATGGGTGCCTTTCAGGAGGGTTTAGGGTTGATGATACTAAAGCTGCATTACCTTACGGATCCCAAACTGTGGTAATAATGGTTTAATTATTCCTTATTATAGGTAATGCGGGATTTACACCATCAACCGTATTTAGGGAGTTTCGGCTTGAGCTTGCAGTGCAGTGTTGAGGGTGTAGGAGTTCAGAGTTTCGTGGTTTCGGGTTTTGTCAGTTTTGGGTTTCACGGTTAAGGGTGTAGGGACTTCGCACAACCCTAAACCCTAAACCCTAAACCGGAAGCTATTCGGGTTTAGGATTTTTTGGAGCTTGGGCAGGATCGTTTAAGGCATGGGTGGCGGCTTTCGGGTTCAGGGGGGCTTTAGGGTTTAGGGTTTAGGGTTTAGGGGTTTAGGGTTTAGGGGTTTAGGGTTTAGGGGTTTAGGGGTTTAGGGTTAAGGGTTTAGGGGTTTAGGGGTTTAGGGGTTTAGGGTTTAGGGTTTAGGGTTTAGGGGTTTAGGGGTTTAGGGTTTAGGACTCCTTTAAAAGAGGTTGGGAGTTGGAGTTTAGTCGGGTGCATCGCGTTTGAGAATAAGAATCTTGAAGGTCGTGTCTTCGAGTTCTATGCGGGATTCTTTACTCATAGGGACCCTTAATTACGGGGGGAAGTAGGGGACTATACTTCCAAAAAAGCCTTCTGAAGTCCTTACTGTAGGTATTAAGGCCCCCTGCCCCCCTTCCCCCCTACCCCTCCCAAGGGTCCTTGTCATAACATACTGGCATGGGATCTGGAGTTTGCAGCGAAGTTTTTTCGACTTATGGAGTACTTGGTATCAGTGGTAAACGTTGCATGGTATTCCCATCACCTCTCTCTGTTTAAGGGGATGTATTGGAGTCTCATCGTAAAGAGCCCTAAACATGTAGGTCCTGTAGTTACAGGTAAGTTTGTGAGGCAAGTAAGTTGTAAAAGGTAGCATTCCGGGTCGAAATAGTTCTAAATGGCACTCCTCAGGTGCGGGGCTTAGGGTTCGGTCTTTAAGGTTTCAGGGTTGAGGGTTTCATAGCTTCTTGTGGCTGCACTTCGGATAGACTTTAAGCTTTTTAGCTTTTCTTTGTCCTCTGCACTGTCTCTTGAACTCTATAGCCGATGGTTGTCCTGGCTTACCTTGGATAGAGGAGTACTTGAGGGTTGGACAGGTCCTAGAACTTATGAACCAGCGCCCCAGTTGTCCATAGCTCATGAGGGGCATGCCGTAGTTCTCATCGTTTGTGGTATACTGAAGGTGATGCAGATTTTTGCAACTCTGGACTTTCGGGGTGGCTCATCGAATCACTATAGGTTTCAATTAGGTGCCAAATTCACTGAAGCCGCCACGTGTCATCACTGGTAATCTAGGAACCTGATTAAGAAACCCTGTGTCTCTAACCCCAAAATAGTAGGATTCATCAAAGGAGCCCTAATAGAGGCCCAAGGTTTCTCAATCAGGTTCTAACTTTTTCCAGACTATTGAACTTCACTCCAAAATCCTGGTTTGGATGCCGGCACAGATGGAGCTTCGTCCGCCGAGGCGACAAATGTCAATACCTATAGTCTCCATTGTAGTTCCTTTATATTAGTTAACCAAAGTCTTCTTTATAGGATGCTAACCCCGTAAGACTGGTTAACCAAAAAAGGAACTACAATGGAGACTATAGGTAGAGTCCACGTTGGGAAACAGGGGGATCATACAGTTGTCGCAGCCTTGGGTGGTGGCGAGACTGCACATATCGTCTTTACGCCAACTGGCCATGACTCCCACGCCTTGCGCCGCCTTGTGGATGGACTTAGAGCTATCTCTTCGGCAAGCCTGAGATTCGCCAAGAAACGAAGGGTTCCTACTGACAGCTTGGCCTCCCGGCAAATGAAGAACTGGGCTTTATGCGTGAGTATTTCGATGAAGTCGCAGACCTTTGCCAAATCGATCCCAATACTGAATTGCTGAATTTGGCAGGCTTCCGCGGTGAGGCAGTGGCCAAAGGTTGAACAACAGGTACTTGGAGGTTCATGGGTAGTTATAAGTGGGGTTGTAAGTCCCCGAATATGGTTATAGGAAGCTCCAGAAAGTTGGAATATGGTTTCATGGTAGGATACCCTATAATTTACCTTAGAGGGATTAGGATAATCATATTCCAACTTTCTGGCTTCTACCTTATAAGTATAGTTACCCTACTTATAACGACAAGAACAGCCCTTCCCAAAGGCTCCATGTACCTTTATAGTACTTAAGCCTTGAAGGGGTTCCTATATAGCTACTCTAAGGCCTAAGTATATACTGTTTGGGTACATGGACCCCTTGAACAACCCTAAACAGAACCCGTTTTTAGGAACCGTTACAGGAAGCCCTAAAGGACCCCTATATGGGAACATGGACATGGAGGCTTTTAATTTTAGGGCTTGAAAGCCAGCACTTGGAGGGTCGGGGGACTTAGTAAGTAGGTTAGAAGTAGACTTATAAGTGCCTTAAAAATGGACCCTATGTAATTGGTTATGGTACTCATGAGTCTCTAAAATAACTACTTACTAAGTCCCCCGACCCTCCAAGCAGGACCTGCTAAACCCTTGTCCCCACACGACACCCTTGGCCGGTAACCGTTCGCCTAGCTACGCGTTCCTGTTCGAACCTGCAAACTTATGGCATATATACCTGTGTATATGTATGTATATGTATGCACGTATGTATGAATGTATGTATGTATAGCGCCATGAATGTATCCGGAACCCTACACCTGACTCTACCCTTAACCCTACCTACCCTGAACCCCTACACGCCCACTCCAACCCCCACCACACAATTCGACAAGGCCCGAATCTCTGCGAAGAAACCCGCGAAGCTGACTCCATCCGATGCGGACAATGCCATACGGATGCGTACGCGCATCAAAGTGCCATGGCTCAGAGCTTTCGGCGGCTTAATTACAGGATTCCTGTTAAAGGTAATGTACCTATAGTCTCCATTGTAGTTCCTTTTGTTGGTTAACCAAAATCTCCCTTATAGGATGCTAACCATAAACCTGGTTAACCCAAAAACGGAACTACACTGGAGACTATAGGTAAAGTACCATGGTCGGCCTTGTCCTTTTTCATGGTTCCCCCAACAGAATAAACAGACCGGCTAGTAGACCTTCTTAAATAATTCCTACTAAGGGATATAGGTATAGGGCTCTGTCTATTATTTCTAAAAGGACAAGAGTGACCATGGTTGGGTCATAGTGCCTATGCACATCACAGTGCCGCAGCTCAGTGGGGTTTCAAGAATTGCTATGCATCAAAGAGCCAGGCATGGGGCTTTACCCATAGGCCCCAAAGTAGTTCCTTTTTGGGATTACTTTATAGGATTCTCAATATGAACCCTTAAAAGGAACTACTATGGAGCCTCTGCGTAGGTTCTTCCTAAAAGGCTAAGGGACCAAATTCAGGTACCATGACAGGGCGGTTCAAGTGTCTGTATGGCTTAGAGCCTGAGGGCGTTTCGCATGGCTGAGTGGGTTTAGGGTATAGGGTTTAGGGCTTATCGTAGGCTTTGCAAATTCTGCAAAGAAACTCCCCGGGCACCCTACGCTGTCAGGAGGGCCTCAAGGCCCCAGCAATAGGTCAGCAGGCCATACTATGCAAGGTCTTTGGAGGTGGCGACCCTTGACTTGTCGATCAAGCGTCTTAGTTAGTACAGTAGACAAAGTAGGGCTTGATCACCGAGTGGCTATACGCTAGTCCCAGGTGGAGTGTTCAACTAGGGTTTAGGGTTGGGTTGAGGGTTGGTAATGGGTTTGCTGTTGCTGTACCTCATCGTAATAGGAGCTTGCTATATACATATATATATATATATAACTATCGTATTTTACAGGTGTATATATATATATATATATATAGGAGCTTGCTATAGCAAGGATATCTAGCGCATAAAAATAGACAAACAAATATGTATACGTATATATATATATATATATATATATATATATAGGGCCCAAGTGACCCAGCAGCGGGTATCTTAAAGGCCCCAGTACCGCACGCAATGGCCGCATAGCGGAAGGCGGTACGCCAGTTTGCAGCTGCCTGGGCAGCTGCAGGGGGGCAACAGCCAGACCTACAATTGGGATTCCATGTTGGTGGGCAACTACACCAACACCCTTGTGCACACCGGCTTCGAGTTCCCGACTTACAGCCGCCACGGCTCCAGCAAGAAACTGTTCGCATGTGTGGATGACGAACATGTGACGCTCAGAGTGGCAGTGTTTGATCACCAGGGACACTTGAAGGACACCATTCCCACAGGACAAGAACACTTGGTCGTTGTCCGGCTCTTCTTGACCCCGGAAGAGCTGCAGCTGCTGATGGATAGCGTCCCGAAGTGGGATATGGCCGGTGCCATTCCGTGCACCACAAAATCGAACATGAGCGAGATCGACCTCTTGGTTTGCAATAAGGACCTGGAAACCGACGCCAAAGCCAAAAGCATGGTGGGTGCCATTAAGGATGCTTTCCGAAATGGTGCTCTCGGCTGGATGAGCTGCTTAGCCAACATCAAGAACATGTAGGCCAAGGTGTATCCGGAGCAAAACGTCTACGCCAACCGTGGCTACACCACGAACATGCACTGGATCGTCGGCCCCAATGCCGTCTTCTTGAGAATCATGATGGCTATGATGGAGCACGAGTTCAATGAGACATACGACATCTTTTTCCTGACGGAGATGGATGCCGTCCCCATTAGGGACCACTGGCTCGACAACTTCGAGATGGAGGCCCACGAGATGGCCGATAATGCCATGGCCATCCGCGGGAGCCAGTACTTGGGCGACAGTTGGGACCTGCTCAGAGCAACGATGCCGACTTACTTGGCGGAGCACATCAATAGCAATGCCTTGTATAACCTCAAGCACCTTGGACCGAGGCGGTGTGCGATGCATTCCACAGCATGGATGGCGGCAGCATGATGGAAGGGATGGCCTTCGATGAGCCATTCGCCATGATTAACATGGATGCGATGTCAAGGAACACTAGCAGATGAGCCGTTTCAGGTTTAGTCTGCCTCTTTCAGTGGTTCGGCACGTGTGTATGTGTAAACGCTGTCACTGCACATGGATGCGTGTTTGAACGGGCGCGGCGATTTTTGAATTCTGCTGTGTGGGGCGTAGCTTGAAGTTGGCCTCTCCCGTCCCCTGGAGGAATATGTTCAGGCTAGATATAATATAGTTTCGTGGGTGTCAGCTGTGACTGCATGTCTGAGTGGAGTCTGCTAGAAGCAACACTCAGGAGCCTTGAAGTGTTGGTGCGCTTGCAAACTGCAAACGTCCTTGTTTCGCCACGGCACTTATGTTTGCCACACCGCGCTAAATAGCCCAATGTCGTAGCTTGCTTGTTGCCTGCGGGATTGCACTTCGGTTTGTGTGTTCCCGTTTTCCCGTCGTTTACGAAGCAGCGCGGAGTCACAATGACCACGCTGAGAGAAGTAGTAAGTTTGGTTTTGTGGCAGGATGTGACGTAACCGCTTACGGTTTTTTTACGTAGCTGCTGTGCAGCTGGCCGGGTCTACAGCGGTCCGCCTTCCCTGCCTAAACCCTGATGTGCCAGATTTCTGCTCGGCTTGTGTCAAACATCAGCTAGTGCATACTGGCAGTCAGTGGTTTCGTTTGCAAGTTAATTAGGCAGCGAACTCCTCTGAATGCTTGGAAATGGAAAAAAAAAATATATATATATATATATATTATCGTATTTACATATATGTATATATGTATATATACATATATAGCACCTTGAAGTAGGGCGCTTCAGCACACAACGAGAATGAATCTGGGTCAGGGTTTGGGGGCTTGAACAGGTGCTTTGCCTGGAGCTGCGGCCACGCATCCAGATCCAGGGTACTACTCACAAGCCCCTTATCGTAACCCTAAACCCCAAACCCTAAACCCTAAACCAAACACTCAAAGCCTGTCGGAAGCCTTGAAGAAGATCTTCCGAAGGTGAGTGCTATGAGTGCCGCACGCCGGATGTACTCATCGCCTGGCTGGGACCCTTCCTGTGCCTTAGACGTCGACAAAACCCAGAGAGTCTCAATCCCCTTAATGCTTAGTAGCTGAGTGGACTCACTTTACACTGTTTTGGGATAATGTTGTTCCCACTATAAAACTAAAAGTGTAATTCTACTTTTGGGGGGGCTTATGGACTCAGCAACTAAGTATGTGATCAAGCACCATACCCGAACTCATGCGGGCGTTGTTTTACGACTAGGCTTGAAGTTGTACTTCTCAACTAATGTATGTTGGAGTCTCCGAGGATTCCGTGCGAGAGTGTATGCGATCTTGTGAAGGCCTACACTGACACCCGAACAGCTTAACCCAAGCCCTGAACCCTAAACCGGAATCGCTAACCACCGAATGCTTCTGGGAAGTTCCCTAGGCATCCGCTGCCGTGGTGATTACCTATAGTCTCCATTGTAGTTCCTTTTACTGGTTGACCAAAATCTCCTTTATAGGATGCTTACCATACAACTGGTTAACCAACAAAAGGCACCACAATGGAGACTATAGGTAGAGATCCATAGGCTTTGGGTTTCGGCATTGAGTGTTTACGGGATCCCATTTAGCTTTCAGGCTTTTGGTGCTCGGTACAAAGATTCAAGCTCCTGTGCGTCGCAGCGTTGGGGTTCGGCGGAGCGTAGTGTTTGGGGTTTAGGGAGAAGGTTCCAAGCAGAACAAACGTGGATCCCGAAAAGAGACTGCTAAGTCTTATAGTGAACCCCAGAAAGTTGGAACATAGATTTAGGAGGATTATTGCTGGGATTCCCTCTGCTTTGCCTTAAGGGCATCAGGGCAATGATGTTCCAACTTTCTGGCTTCTACTGTAGTTGGGAATGACGACACTTCAGAGCAAGATGAAATACCCCTAGACGGAACCTTTCACGGCTGCCCTGGCAGTGTCATTGATACAGTCTCCACCGGGAAATGCCAAGGATCATTTTAAGGGTTGGAATAAAGGGACTATCTAGGGTGGTAGAAAGGAGAACCCCAAACTCGTACAAACAAGCCTATCCCCTCCAAATCCCTGCGTCGACAGCCTTGTCTTGGTGCCTCACCCCCCAAGCTCCAAATAAACCGTATAAAGGTACCAACATATCTAGAACCACTGAACGGAACCTGAAAACCCAAACCTTAAAGCCTTAAATAGATCCCAAACCACAAATCTCCGGCCCTGAAGCTGAACTCCAAACCCTGTACGCTAAGCCAGTTTAAACCCAAACATCAAAACCCGAACCTTCAGCCCTGAACCCCAAACCTCTAACCTGGATCCCCAAACCTGCTGGCCCTACCGATAGTCTCCGTTGTAGTTCCTTTTTTGGTTTACCAAAATCTGCTTTATAGGATGCTAACCATAAAGCTGGTTAACCCAAAAAAAGGAACTACAATGGAGACTATCGGTATGTCGCGAATGGGGGAATGGGCTTTAGGGTGAACCCCCCCCCCCCACGAATCATTCCTGGCTCTCAAGGTATCCGCTGCTGATGATTTTTGCGTCTCGTCCAAGTAACAGCATAGCAGGTACTGTTGAGATAGTTGGGCTCCCCCGAAGTATGGGAGTTTGCGAAGAGAGGGGACCCGAATATAGTGCCCTGAATAGTAGGATCCTTGTTATAAGGACCCCCAAGATAAGCTACCCCTAATTTTCGGAAACTCCCATATCGACTTTCTGAAGCTATTCCTGGCTTCTGTTTCCGAAATGTACTTGTATAGGCTTATAGTATAGTATTAACACTTCGCCACGGTTATGTAAACATGTCCGGGGTCTTCATCAGAGGGGTGATCTCACGGGATGTTGAATGGGATTGTCAACGGTTCAATAGGGTTGTCATGGGCTGTATACCTATTAGGGAGTTTCCGAAAATAGGGGACCCTAGTATAGCACCCTAAATGCTAGGATCCTCATTATAAGAACAGCGAAATAAGGTACCCCTATTTTCGGAAATTCGTAGTCTCATAATAGGCTACTCGTTTATGGGGCCATAGGGTTCACACACGGCTTGCCGTAACCTATACTGTTAAACTTTGTATACCTTATTCAAGCAGTACAGTAGCCATACAGTACCCGTAGCTGAGTGGCCTACTATGCAGATAACGGGGCTTTAACTATAGTCTCCATTGTAGTTCCTTTGTTTGGTTCACCAACATCTCCTTTATAGGATGCTAACCGTAAAATTGGTTAACAAAAAAAGGAACTACAATGGAGACTATAGGTAAGCCTTTGATTTTCCACCCTGGTGTTTGTTTGCCGAGCATTTTCGGATTTCAGGCGGTTGGTTCGAAAGGTTGACTGGCTGGGGTCTTCAGGGTGTAGACTTGAAGATTGCAGGCTCGTACCTACAATGTTTACACATATATATATATATATGTATATATATGTAGTTATATATATATATATATGTATATATATATATATGTATATATATATATATGTATGTATATATATATATATATATACATATACACCTCCAAAACCCTTGTTAATGCTTGGGCCGCGAGATTGGTTGTCAAGGTGCGAGGTTCCGTGTCAGGTGCCGGGCCACAGGTTCCAACGCACGTATCAAGCTGTGCCCCTTGCTAAGCCTGTACCCCAATACTCCATGTACCCAAATGGGAGTTTCCGAAAATTTGGGGTACCTTATTTTGGGGGTCCTTATAATAAGGATCTTACTATTTAGGGTGCTATATTAGGGTCCCCTATTTTCGGAAACTCCCAAATAGTATATACATTGGCCTTCAAGTAGTTCCTATGTAGGTACATTGGGGCCAAAGTATATAACTATTTGGGTACGTGGACCCTTAGGAGTAAGGCTTTTCCTGCTTGATTGGCTGCACGTCGTGGGCCTGGGTGTGGCAGCCGACGTCCTTGGTAATTTGCTCTTTGACAATCACTAATCGGCCCACACATCCCTTGGTGGCTGGGTTGTCGAAACCCGAAAGACTGCCGAAACTATGGTTGCAACTGAGAGACTGGGACAAGTTGCACTGTGTCCTGGACCATTTAGAAGATATGTTGAAGCGAGAAGGTGCTTCAAAGAAACCCTGAAGCACCTTCAATCCTAAACCTACTTCCTAATTACACCCTAAACCCTACAAAAAAACCTGAACCCCAAACCCTAAGCTCTAAACCCTACTTCCTAAACCCATGGAAAGCCTTTCACAGGGCTTTCTTCCTCCGCTGATTCGATCCTTGCGTTGCCTGGTGAGCAGAACGGTTTGTGGTTTAGGGATTAAGGTTCAGGGGTTTAGGTTCAAGGTTTCGGAAGGGCCTTGCCTCCTCAGTCCTGAATTGTTGATACTTTGTTTTGTTTTGTGTTGGGTCCAGGGGTGGGGCCCAGGGCTTAGGGCTTTTTGGGGCTTTTAGGGGCTTTAGGGGCTTTAGGGTTTAGGGCTTTCAGGGTTTAGGGTTCAGGGTTTAGGGTTTAGGGTAGGAGCCTTAGAGCGATTCGAAAATCCTCCAGATCGGAAGCCCTCCTTCCTAGAGACTCCAATATCCTTTAATTAAGGAATATTCCTTAAAT